ACACATATGTAATGTATATCAATGCTTGTATGTATTGTCTCTGCCTTCAGGTCCGTGTCTTAAGGTTGCTGAGAGTCCTCGGTCGGAACAATGAAGCAGCGAGTGACGCCATGAACGACCTCCTCGCTCAGGTTTAATGTTTATTTTTCTCCATATTGCACTGTTCCAACACTGATGACACATTTATTCCTAAGACCTTTGAATGTGCCTTTTTAAAATGTGAGACTTGTGTTTCTAGTTGACACAAAAGTAGTTTTTCCTTAAAAAAACGACTCATTCTTTACTCATCTTGCTGAGATGCTGCTGATACGTAAGGTTCGCTTTTGTAGGTGGCGACCAACACAGACAGTACGAAGACCGTGGGGAATGCTGTGCTGTATGAAACWGTCCTCACCGTGTTAGACATAAAGTCTGAGAGCGGCCTCAGAGTGAGACACTTCTTACCACATTCATACTTTAGGATTTAAAGTTGGATTTCAAAATGCTCATAAGTTTGATTTGTTGCACAGGTTCTTGCTGTAAACATTCTGGGAAGATTTCTCCTGAACAATGACAGGAACATTAGGTCAGTGCCTTTTTGTTCCTGCTACACTGATTTTMTGCCTCAGTTTCCAGCCATGTTTTACTTCTTTATGTTGCCGTTTCCTAGAGGTTTTGATGTGTTTAGGTTTTCTGTTGTCTCCGTTAGGGCTTTGTGGGTATTCTAGTCTGTCAGGTTTTTTTTTCCTGCAGATCCACACTAATGAGACTTGTTTATTCCTGTCAGACCTGCCTCACCAGATAACATCTTTCCTGCCCCTGCAAAAACACTCAGTGGTTATTTCAGTTGGTTTTAGGTTATTGGGTCAGGAAAGTGGAGAATTTTTAAGCTACAGATTTACCAGTTTACCTTTTATTTTTAGGCAGTAGTTACAGTGATCTTAAATTAATGTGAAAGTTGTTTTTGCTTTACTTCACCACATGTTGATTCTTACTGACACTACTGTAGATCTATGGGAATTCAGTTTGACACGGCATAAAAACAAAAACTTTGCATGTTTCTTACTTGGCAACCCTGTGTGCATGTTTAGGTATATTGCCATGACTTCTCTTCAGAAGATTGTTGGAACAGACCATAATGCAGTGCAGCGACACCGGGGGACTATAGTAGACTGCCTGAAGGACCCCGACGCATCCGTCAAACGGTACCTTTGAGAGTTTCTGCAAATCAAACTTGTTATTGGTTAGAGGTGAATGATGTCATCGTTGGCTTCTTTCATCAAGTATGCAATCAGATGTTCAGATGTTTTAGAACTAAGCAGAAACAAACAAATTTGATCAGATTAAAAATCTTCACTTGTTAATTTTTTGGTCTAAATAAATCAGATGGGATCTTGATCGCCTGTCAGACACGTCAAACCCTGGTTGTGAGTTTTTAAAATATTCTTTATTGTATTTTTGTTACAAGTAGTTTCTGAAACCAGGATCATACTTTTTTAAATCAAACCACTCGTCTTTTTTCAATGCCTTTTGCTTTTTAACCTCTCATCACAGTTCAGCTGATGATGGTTAATAATTTCATTTAACTTGCAAATAGCTGAATTTCCTCTGAGTACCACTTACAAGACTGGCTTTAGAACCATGGATGTAAGAGTTTCAGCCACCAGGAAGTGTTGGTTTTATATTTTGACTATGTAAACTCCTCCCAAAGCACACTTAAAGACTCAACAAATTGGAGCTCAGTAAAGAACTGCTGCTCTTGTGTTCGGAGGAGGCAGGACTGTCTGCTTTAAGAGCTCACCCTTTCAGAGAATTTGGCATTTATCTCTTGCTCGTCTGCGAAGGTAATATTAATGCAAATTGATTTTTTTCAAACTCCATTTGTGTCAAGATTTGCTACATGACAGATGTTTATTCAGCAAAGGCTTCATTTATTTCAAAAACACAATGTTAAGTCACTTCCTGCGGTTTTTGCAGCAGCATTGTGAGTTTACTTTGATTTCAAAACACAAAAATAGATCGTCTCAGTTATCAAATGCTTGCAGAATACTGTTGAGAGGAGAAGATGCAGCACAGTGAATAACATGTATTTTCACATTTCATTTAGAATCAAATAATAGTAAATCAGTTGTAGTTTTTTTTACAAAGAGTTACAAATCTCCCACTTTACTTGGCATTTTGCATGTGTGTCATGTTAAATGAAGCATTACAATTAAAAGCTCTGCGACCAGTCAGTCAGTTTATAACTGGTGCTTATTTTATTTTAATTTTTTTCTTTTTGTATTTATCAGTAAAATGTTCTGGGATTTAGTTCCCTAACTTACTAAATAAAACTACCTTCTGCATTTTTAATAAACACAACTGATGTCCTGTCCTTATAAGAAGGTTAATAATATTTCAACAATAATCTATTTAGACAAACGTGTTCATAGAACTGGAGTCAGGTCACTATTTATTCTCTTCAGACTAAAAGAATTGAGCAGTATGAATATTTAAAGTACATCCMATCATGTAAATGCAGTCTAAACTCATCAACACATTAAAAAAACAATTTGTTACCACCTCTTCTGTCCATCTAGGCGTGCTTTGGAGCTCTCCTTGGCTTTAGTGTCAGCCTCCAACATTCGCTCTATGATGAAGGAGCTGCTCATCTTCCTCTCCTCCTCCCCTCCTGAGCTCAGGGCTCAAGCTGCCAGCGGCATTTTCAACGCTGCTGAAAGGTGAGTGAACCTTTCACATATAACCACGCTCCACACTCCTCCTCGAAAAACGGCTCAGAAACATCGAATATAATAATAAATAAATATTAGTTAGAACGTGCACAGACCAATGGTACACTTCTGTGTGTTTAGATGTAACGAGTTGTCTTGAACCTAACACACTGTTTTTCTGCTGAGGTAATAACAAGAAAGCCTCTGTTTTCTGTATACTGCATATGTTCACACAACTCAGCCTGAGTCTGTCTCCACTCAGAGATGTCTGACGGGCTGACACTGTGACAGTGAATGCCTCATGTGTTTCCTCTGCATGTTATTCACTGACTAAAAGCATTTATTTGTTTGTGTGTCCAAGCACTTAGAGGATGGAGATTACAGCTGATTCAGTGTGTTAGTGTGTGTTACTCACCATTGAGCACTGCTCTGTTGGCTGTGTGTGTGTGTTAGGTATGCACCCTCCCAGCGTTGGCACATTGACACCACCCTGCATGTTCTCACAACGGTAAGTATTTTCTGCACCACACACCCTGCTGCCTCTCACTTTCTGTAGTGTGTGCATTAAAGATGGATGAAGCCTCCAGAACTAAAACATGAAGCAGAAATATTTTCTATTTKTGTTCTTTTGCAGCCCAGGGTGTGTGCTTGATTTCCCCAAAAAATATCTGATTGTTTAGAGGTTAATGAGAAAACGTCTCGACTTGTTAAGTCATTACATCTACAGTTTTTAAAAGACGTTTCAGCTTTACCTCCTCTGTGCTGCAGCTTTAGATCTATTGTAATCAAAACCTAAACTGAGAATGTAAAACAGAAATTAGTTTTGCTTTTGGATTCATTGATAAAAACACACCACCGCTTCACCGCTTGTCTTTTGGTTACTTCTTTAATAACTTCTCATTTTATCTTGTATTGTTTTGTGAACAAGTCCTATTACAGAGCTAATCAGGGTTGGTTCTTCCAGTGTTTTACTTAGAATATTTGTTTCTTCTGTAGGTGATGCTTTGAAGATTCAAAGTAATTCTAAATGGATTTTAACAACGTTTGAAAGCTTTATTTTTAGCAGGAAAAACTTGAATGTTAGGACTATAATTCTGTTGCTCTAAAACGACAGTAAAATGAGGTGAGCTCCCACTCAGACATCAATATGAGCAGTTAGGTCCAGAGTGGAGCAAAGATAAAAGCAAGAATATTATCTGAAACTTTTTAACACCTGGGTGATTCATTGGAGAATCACATTGTTTGATTAAGGTGCTGGGAGACTACTGGACATATTTAAATTCATGATTAAAAGTAAAATGCTGGAGGAAAATGTAGTGTTTGGTTCTGCAACACAAATAAGCCAATCTGACATTTTACCTGCAGGACATTTGTGTTTTAAAATGCAACATCTCTGAAACCCTTTCAGACAGAGTCTGAGCTGTAGCTTCTTGTAGATATGAAGGATGATAGCTGCATGTGTGTCAGTCCATTTCCCTTTAAAGCGAAGGGAAAGTTCAAATCTTTCAGGCTGCCCTAACATCTGAAGAACTCCTTTCATTTATGCATTTTTAACAACAACAAGAAAATATATATACTTAGCTCAAAAAGTAAGGAAATTTGTGTTTGGTAGAATATTTATTTATTGTAACAATGCTTCTTGGCAATAAGTCACCTGGTTGGCAGCACCTGGAGGTACCAGAAGCACAAAACAAGAGTCAATAGCAACAGCAAAATAAGCTGTTTGGCAAAGAATTTTCAAATACATCATGTGCAAAACCCACACACTCCGCTCTACTGCTCATCCCACAAATGCATGTTCCTTACAAATGTGGCACCATTTAAAATGGAAATTAACAGGCTTTCTAACCGTATATTTATTGTCAAGAAACATTGTCACAATAAAGAAATAATCTACCAAACACAAATTGTCGTTATTTTTTTGCTAAATTTATATTTAAATATCTCTCAAATGCATCAMCCAGAATTTTGCAAGCTGTATATTTACATTATTTTAAAAATAATTTCAGTAAATGTAGAGCAAAGTTTTACTGTCTGTGTGTGACTTTAATCAGAAAAAAAAACATTCATTTCTCCCCTGACTAATTTTTTTTATCATCTGGCTCCTCTAGAAGTGGTTTGTTGATGCAGTTAGTTTWAAATTAACAAAAGTTGCAGGTGAATAGACCGTTCATTCCATCATCTGCAAAACAGTTTTCAGAAATGCTTACACAAAAACTTCCATGGCTGCCTTCCTGAATAAAATTATAAAATTAGAGAAGCTCACCTTTCAGTAACAGGCTGTTTATTGTTCACTGTGTCTGGAAAAATAATGTGTAGTGACCCAAATACTCACACCAGCTGCCTCTCTAATGGAGCTTTTGTGTTTGTGCGTGTGTGTGTGTGTGTGTCATTCCCACTCCACCAGGCAGGGGGTGATGTGAGGGATGAAACTGTGCCCAACTTGATTCAGCTCATCACCAACACGTCGGAGCTGCACTGTTACACCGTGCACAAGCTGTACCGGGCTCTGCTCACAGACATCTCCCAGGTTTGTGTGTCTGGGTCGGTTCTGACGTGAGTTTTAGGTCGATGGGTTTTAATTTAGTCTGTGTACMCATCAGAGAATGTAAAACACCACAAACCCATCTTTACTAAAACAAATAAAGCATCTCTACATATTGTTTGGAACAATGGGCCTCATGCAAGAACCGTTCGTACGCACAGATTTGTTCTTAAGTTGTGCGTACGAGTGATTTAAGAGAATTTGTGGCATTCACCAATGTTTTCATTTACGAGTGGTCCAGACCTGTCGTATATTTTACGAGCAGTCAGTCTGCTGTTATCCAGAYGGGTTTTCCTCCCTAATAACTTTATATTTCRTTAGTTTGAAGATATTTTGAGTTGAAAATAAATCACACTCCATRATTATSTTGACAWTAGGCTATTCTGCTTGAATTAGAGTTATAATTTTAAATGTAATAATTTAGACTAACAACATAAATTGTCCGTCTGTCCGTTTTATGCCACTTATCCGGGATCGGGTGCGGGGCCAGAGCAGAGAGACCCCACTCTCCCCAGCGACACTTTCCAGCTCGTTCTGGGGGACACAAGACGTTCCCAGACCAGAGGGGATACATAATCCCTCCAGCGAGTCCTGGATTTTCTCCAAAGTGCCAGACTTATTTTGAAAATATTTTTAAAATGCTTATTTTAAACCTGCATCTGAGACCACCTGCGACCGCGCTGCGCGGGGGGTGGGGGGGGTACGGTGTGCAGCGCTGTGTCTTCTGAATAAATGAAAATGATTTAACACAGTTGTTTATACTTTTAGCAGCTCTTTTTATTCCACAGCTGACCTGCTAAAAATGACAGATTTTCTTTTCTGGATCTCTGACAGACGGACTTCAATCTCTGAACTCGTAAAGTTTTTCTTTTTAGTTTTCGCTGTCATTTTTCATGAATGGACACTTCCTTATATCTGAGCCAGGAAACATAGCCTTATATGGTGTTTTTGGGGTGGTAATTATGCTAATCTCCTCTCGCATGCACGAGCAGCTGGATATGAACAGGTGAAATTTACGCAGCTCATTTACACACTTTTCCTGAAGATAGAAGAGTTTGTTGAATCTGACGTGACATGTTCGTACGAACCCTTCATACGAACAAAAGTAAGAGAAATTTAGGATAAGAATACGAACATGCTATTGCATGAGGCCCAATGTTTGTACCTGGTRTGTAGTTGTCAGAATGAAACTATTTGATTATCTTTAAAAACTATTGCAAATACTTTAGAGTCGTGTTGAACCTAAAAGTAAATAAATGACTCTCAGTACCTCTAAAATAAAATAAAATGATTTTTAAAAACGGTTTCTCATGTAAATGCAGATTATAACTAKAAGTAGAGAAAGCTGGTTTGAATTTAAAGCAGTGAAAATAGYTCAGCTTTAGGTTTAGAATTGGCCAATACAACCAAACAGACGTTCTGTATCCATCAACAGAGTGGATCTTTTTTCTTCTTCTTTAATTACTTTAACCTGCTGTGACTTCTGACATTTTCAATTAAAACAACTTTTCTGGACAGACTGTAGTTACTTAATTGATGCAGTGAATTAAAAGCATTTTCTTTGTGCAGCAACCTCTGGTCCAGGTGGCGTGCTGGTGTATAGGAGAGTATGGAGACCTGCTGCTGAGAGGAGAGTGTCAGGAAGCTGAACCTGTGCAGGTGAACTATTGATTCAATCTATTATGACACCATGATAACTTTTGGAATAACAGCTGAACTTTTTTTAAGACTTGACACAATTAAAATATCATTTTTCATTTATAGAATTAACAGTGTGTCAGTTTTTCACAGAGAAGAAAAACTTCCACCTGTAGTGTTTAAATGAAAGTGGAGCAGTTATTATCTTACCTGTGGTAGATAGCTCCTTGAACAACCTCAGTCTGGAGATAAAGATTGACCAGCTTTATGAGCCAACAACTAGTCTGAGCAAAACCAGAACCAGAGTGGATCATTGCTGTTAAAAAGGGTTCATATTCATTTTACCTTCTTCAAGAACTCTCCTGGATAGCTGAACTTATCACCCTGTATCTGGAGGAGAGTCCAGCTACACTGTTGAGAAAACTCATTTCAACCGCCTGTATCTGCGATCTCGTTCTGACAAATTCTGTCCGTACGTGTTACGAACAGAATCTGTGACACCGGGAAGCCCTGACAGATTCCAACTCTCACCCTGAAGAGGGCCATCCTACTGCCAGCAATGTGAACCGAACTGTCGCACCGCTTGTGTAGGGGCTGAGTGACTCATAGCAACAGACCCCCAATCCCGTACTAACAGAGCACCCTGCTGGTCAAATGTCTTCTCTAAGTCTACAAACCACACATAGACTGACTGTGGTAAACTCCCATGATTGAGGGTAAAGAACTGGTCCAGATTGGCCCACATTTTTCCTCCTGAATCTGAGGTTCAGCCATCGACTGAAGTCTGTTCTCCAGCACCCCTGCACACGTAATAGCAGCTAAATGAATTACCTGTATCAGGAATATCACGGTTCAAACAGAATAACTGAGTAATCCTAAGTTGATGAAAGTAAATGTTTACAAAAGTGTTTTCATGAACCACTAAAAAATTTATGATTGATTTCAGCACAACAGCAATTTGCTCCTTTCTCTTCACTGTTTGGCTTATTGTTAGCTCATCAATCTGCCCCAACTCCATTTTCCAAACTGTGGTTGTTTCACATAACTCCACTTCAAAAGATCTGAACTAAACCTTCAACTAAACATGCAAAAATTGAAAAGCAGTATTGGCAAATGTTGTTTTGTAATAAAAAATAGTTCATCCTCCAGTGAAGTAAGTACTGACTGTCAAAACTCACAGAGCTCTGTTTCTTTCCTAGTGTTTCAAAGATTTAATACCAACTTTCACACACCATGTTGTCCTTTAATCAGGTCACAGAGGATGACGTCCTGGACGCTTTGGAAACTGTTTTACAGTCGCACATGTCGACCCCAGCAACCAGAGGCTTCGCTCTCACCGCCACCATGAAACTGAGCACACGCATTACTGAAAACGTGGAGTAAGTACAGTCCCAGCTCACACAGAGACCACAATCAAAGGAAGTCTACTTACAGACCAGTGTAGCAGTTAAAGTCACTTTAATACCTGCATGGTTCCAGATGGTTTACACACTGGTGTCGGTGGTATTACAAGTTCAAACATCTAATAAGAGTTGAAAGCTAAAAGGAGTTAAAAGCTGCTTTAAATTCTCAGTTATCCTTTGTGTTTCTTTATCCTGTACGTCCTGCAGTCGCATCCGAAGCATCGTCAGCATCTACGGCAGCTGCATTGACGTGGAGCTCCAGCAGAGGGCGGTTGAATACAACGCTCTTTTTAAAAAATACGACCACATGAGGTGGGCGAGAGATGGTTGACATCAGCTGTGGCTGCATGTTCTGATACCAGTTACTGAGAGAAACATATCCTCTGACCAAAACAACTGGGATTTCTTCCCTCCTCAGGGCAGCAGTGTTAGAAAGGATGCCTGTGATTCAGAGGAACTCTCAGGGCCAGACCATTGAAGAGTCAACAGAGGAGACCATCAAGGAGCTTCAGCCTGCCGGAGTCAAACAGGAAGTGGCGGTACTGCCACAGCWGCCCGCTAGTCAACTATGTAATGATGATGCATCAGCAGTCAGGGTGAAAAGTCCTTCAATTTGTTTGATAAATCACTTTGCAAACAGAAACATATCCACATATGGCTAGCTTGTTTCTGTTACATATTTATTCATTCAGTATGCAAATGTTGTGTTGTATTTCTTCTTTCTGTGCTTCTCTTCAGGTCTGTGATCTCTTGGACTTACTGGGTGACTCTCAGGAGCCTCTGCAGCCCAGCCTGGCTGTAGGCAGCACAGGACCCTCCCCGCCCCTCAGTACCACCATCACTCCAGGAGGAGACATCCTGGATCTGCTGGGTGGGTTGGAGCCCACTCCCCAAACACCAGGTCTGCCGCTCAGATGATATCATGATTTCATTGGGTGTATTTAAAGAAAGACAAATTAAAACTTTAGAGTTTGTGATGTTTTTTTTCCCCCTAAATGCTGTTTAGGGATGAATGCAACATTTTCATTTTGCCATTTTTCCGTAGCTCCCGCAGTGACGGTGTACGAGAAAAACGGTGTGACTTTGACACTGAGCTGTGAAGAACAGTCAGCCTCAACCCTGACGGCCACTCTCACAGCCTCCAACTCTTCTGACTCAGACATCAGCAGCTTCACCCTGCAAGCTGCAGTGCCCAAGGTTTGTATCATTCATCCTGTTTCTTTTCAACAGATAAATCTCCCTTTGATGCAAGATTTCTTTATCGACCTTTTTTGAACCTCTGATATCTCTTCTGTCACACTTTTACCTCTACATAGATACAAGTTCAGATAATGAAGTTAAAAAGTTAGTAGTTATATGAGGTCTGAGCACCTGAGGCTGTACCAATAAACCTGTTCCTGAAGAAATAACACCAGAGATCTCTGTCATGAAAAGTGTGGTCATGTCAGCAGCTAAGATACTGAAAGGACCCTCCGGCAGCCAGGCTAAACGTGGACGACTCAAGCTTGAATAATTAACCTTACAACAAATTAGATGTATAATAAACATGTTAACATGAAGGGAGATTTAACTATTAAAATATAAACTGTGAATAATTAAGGTGGGCCGTCTGAAACGATTAAAAATAAACAACATTTAGTCWGTGCTGTTTTTTTCTTTATGTTCTAAGAGTTACTGCAACACAAAAAACTATTTGAAGACTGTTGTAATTCAACATGAGCATTACTTTTTCAGAGCTTGTTTCTGTCTCTTTACTAATTCTAATTAAAAACTTAAGCATGTTTGTTTGTACTCATATTCAAACGTCTCTTTTTTTTATAACGAGTTTCTAAAATGATGCTTCAACATTAAAGTTCTGTCTGACCCGCTCCAGAGCGTGCAGCTACAAATGAAGGCCCCCAGCAGAGACTCTCTTCCTGCCCGAGGTGCAGCTAAACTGACCCAGCTGGTGGTCCTCAACAACCCAAACAAGGTGGGTGCGCAACATACAAACATGCACACACACACAAGAACACTGACGGTCTATCACTGCCCCCTACAGCTGATTCTGATACATTTCTACTTAACGTACGATTAAACCCTTCTGGACTCCTCAGGTCAATCTGAAAATGAGGGTCCGCATCTCTTACACCAGTCAAGGTTCGACTGTTCAGGATACGGTCCAGATCGACTCCTTCCCTGGACTCAGCGCCACCGCACACTGACAGCAACCCAGCAGGACCGGTGGATGAAACAGCATTCAGCTCACTGATGTGGTTTTCTCCCAGTTAGCTTTTATTGGAAGGATGTCATTCTTACGTGTTTTTCTACTCATCAGGAACACAAAATCTTAATGACGCACACATGCAGACCTGCAGGAATCACATGGAAGAAATCAAAGTTATTTTGAAGTTTTATTTGTGGGTAGAGGGGAGTCGCTGCAGAGACAACCTGACAGACGACACACAGAGTCTAGTGGATCATGAAAGTCCATAAAACTTTTTAAAAGGTACGATAAAAGACCAAATAGTTATATTTGTTTATCTGCTTTGAGACTTTAGTGAAAAATCTTTCATTTTTATTGATGTAAATTAAAAAAGTGTAATATTCTTAAGCACTCAGAATTTTAAAACACCACCATGCTGTTGTAATTTTTACTTTCTAAAGACTACAATCTATTTTTGTGGGTAATGTCAGTGTAAGCCACACATCACTCTATTTACAACCCTACCTCTGAAAACATTTGTATCTGTTTTGCGCTGTTAAAAATCACTAACAAGTAAGCAACCACTACTTATTTTAAGTACGCTTTTAAAACTCAAACCCATCAAACAGAAGGATACAAGCACAACCTCGTTACCTTCACTTGTTTTCTGTGAGGGTTCCCAGGTGTTCAGCTTCTGGTTCATTCCTCTGTGCCTTTTATCACTTTTCCAAACGTGTGTCTTTTCCAGGACAAGAATATTTTCTAATCTGTAGTTTTTGTTTTCATTCCCATAGAAGCAACAGAACTGAACAGCAATGCTTATTGTTTACAGACAATTAAAATGATTTTATTTATGATGTAAAATAAAGCAAAAAGACCTTGGGCACAGTCCTGCCTACATAATGTAAATATTGGATAATAAGTATTTATATGGATTGAGCTATTAAATGAATAAGCATTAAGCACAATAAAAATATTAAGTTTATGGACAAACTACAACAATCTGATGGAGAAACGGGTGCAGTAAACGAAATAAAACCAGCATGTTTATATCAACTTAGGGACTCATTTCATATTTACTGCTTGAAAAAAAGGAACTCTACAGATAAATTATAAGCAATTTCGATCCAAGTATGATGTCAATAAAATCTTGTTCAGCTTCACATCACTACCTTAACTAAAGAGTTATGAAATGAGCAGAAACACTATTCTGTCAGCTTTTAAGATCATCTTTGAATATGATGCGGAATTTGAATGATGCTATTTTCTAATTAATAAAGAAAATCTTATGAGCTCTTTGTTTTGGTGACTGCTTTAGTCGTTCTTTTGGATTTCAAGACAACACTTTAGTTTCAGCCTTTATTCACAAGCAAAAGTGTTTTCAAACTTTTCTGAAAACATGAGCCTCTTCATCAGCTGTTCAGACTGAAAAAGCCAATTAGAGCTTACAAAAAGAAAAAAAAATCTACACAATGAAATAAAATGTCCTTTTTTTTTTCTTGGTTGCTTTCGCCTAATCGTTTTCCTTCAACACAGTTGGCACTTGGCTGGTCTCACGTCGGCAGCAACTCATGACGACGAGGAGAGGTGCGTGCTGCAGCTGCGAGGCGGCGACCCTCCTCTTAACGCCAACACGAGATGGAGCACCGAACCACCCTGGATCTTGTAGTCTGCAGCCGTCTTCTCATCGTTCCTAAAGGCGAGAGAGTGGGGAGGGAATAATAGTTTAGAGAACGTGAAGATGACAGCTGAACAGCTACAGATGAGAAGGCTCACTACAAAAGGAGCTCACATCTGTTTTCCACTGTAGATGAGCCTCTGCTGCTGTGGAGGGATCCCTTCTTTCTCCTCCACCCGCTCTTTGATTCGCTCCACCTTGAGTCAGACACAGAAATAACATGAAAGTGCTATAATAATAATAATAAAACACGATCACTTAAAAGGTTTTAAGTGTTCATTTAAGAATGGCTCGTTTTATTTTCAGCTGTTACCTTGTCTGTGGGTTCGATGTCGATCTCTATTTCCTTTCCAGTCAAGGTCTGTAAAGTTAAAGCACAAACAGGACTGATGAAAGGTCTCCATCTACAATAAACAAGCACTTTAATAAACACGTGGCAGATAATAAAAGATGTCTGCAAATATTTAAGTGTTCAAGCAAAAAGGAACTCCGAAAAAGTGAGAATAAGATTGAAATAAACATGCAAATGTATTGATAACTCCTGTGTATGTTTATCTATAATTTTATTTATTTAAGTAAATATTAGTTCTCCTAAAAAAAAAACTTTTTGTGCTATTTTATATTAAACACTTTTAAAGCTACATGTTCTCTATTCTTGTAACAGTCCCATCATGCTAGAGGACGCATTTTCAGCAGTGTATCTGTATTTATGTGGCCACATATTTTATATCCAGTGGGGGGAAAAAATTGAAATTATTTTTCTTGTCTGATTCCTAATTTTAACTCACACAAAAGTTCACAATCGAACATCCGTCATCGATAAGCAGCTTTGAAAGATTAAAATATGACTCCAAACTCAAATTATTACTAACTTTTCATTATAAAACAACAATACGCCTTTGAGGCAGTACCTTAACCTTCATTAACAATACATATAGAGTACGTACTGAGATCATGCAGTTATTTATTTAGACACAAAACCGGGATCAGAAATAAACCGGCGACCGGTCAGCGACTCGCAGAAACAAACYTAACACCCGTCGTGAACTTTGATGATCAAAATACAAACAAATCTTACCTTAACTTTGATCAGCATGATGAATATTAAAAACAACTCTTCTATAAAGTGTCTGAGCTGTTCAGTGAACGAAATTCTTAACAAATTATCGTGGCCCTACCAGCTACTCAAGCTAACCTGAATTTACTTCCCGTGTAACAATCTGAACAAGACGTCACTCAACAAACACCGTAGCAGAATGGTTCCGCTCCGGAAAAACGCAAACCAGAAATATGATTCACTTTGTTTATATTTGATTTTGAAAGATTAAATTACCGTTTTGTTTTTGTACATGAGTTCTTTACCTTTGAATGAAATGTATTAGCCTATTTGGGTAAATTAATGAGCATTGTGCGAAGTAATTTAAATCGCCTGTGACAATTTAACTAATAGCGCTTTATTATTTATTTATTTATTTATTTATTTATTTATTTATTTATTTGTTTGTTTGTTTGTTTGTTTGTTTGTTTGTTTGTTTATTTAAACATGAAAACATACAGAATCTGGCCTATTTTAAATAGCAGTCAATATGGATTTAGAGCCATAACTCTGTTTAATGGCTGTCATGGAACCGACAGCATTCAACACGACTGACCGTGGCATTCTACTTGAAAAGTTAAATAAATATGGGATTAGAGGACCAGCATTACAATGGATATCTAGTTATTTGGAAAATAGGAAACAGTTTGTACAAATACATGATGTAAGATCTGAACTATGTGGAATCATGTGTGGAGTTCCTCAGGGTTCTGTACTTGGACCAAAAATTGTTTATCTCATATGTGAATGACTTGGTTAATGTGTCAGGGCTTTTTAAATGTGTTTTATTTGCAGATGATACCACATTTTGTTTGTTTGGGTAAAGACATAGAACTGATGTTAGAGAAAATGCAAACAGAAAATACAAAACTGGTTTCAACTTAAAAATTTATCACTCAATTTTGGATAAATCTAATTATATGATTTTTTACAATGAGCAAAAAAAAACTGTTAATATTCCATTTAGAGTTGATGGTGTAGAGATTAGTAGAGTCAGCGAGGTGAAGTTTCTGGTTGTTATTATAGATGAGAAACTGACATGGAAACCTCATATTAATTACTTAAGAATAAAACTAGCTAAAACTATTGCATTGCTTTAGAAAGTAAGGGACTTGTTTAATGATAAAGCTCTGTATGTGTTATATAATGCATTAATTGTTCCACACTGTCTATTGTGTTGAGGTATGGAGTAAAGCATGTAAGACTATTACACATCCTGTTTTTGTTTTGCAGAAAAGAGCTGTAAGAATTATCACTCGAAAACATTAATCCATCTAAAATATTATTCTGTAAACTGAAATTATTGAAATTTTATGATTTGGTTGATTATAATATTTTGTTAGTTATATATAAAACTCACCAAAACACAYTACCTTTAAACATCCAGAAAAACTTTGCAAAACAAGACAGCTGTTATAATCTTAAGGGGATAGAAATATTCATGAAACCAAAATTTAGAACCAGTTTGGAAGAACGGTGCACCTCCATCCAAGGAGTGGGATTGTAGAATAATCTGGAAAATCATGTTAAAAGGGCCAAATCAAAGTACATGTTCAAGAGAATGATAAAGGTTGGACTGTTGAAAAAATATGATACAGTATAATGTGTAACCATATAATTTGTTGCTCTAGAAAGATTTGATGTTCTTGTTTGATTTAAGATTACTATTGTTTGAATTTATACTTGAGGAAAAAAGGGGCTGATACTATAAGATTTTTTTCTTCTCTCTGCTTCCTTTAATTTCATTTCATTGTATTTGTATTTTCTTTTATTTTTATTGTACATAAAATTCAGTTTTTTTACAAAATGAATGAACAATAAACAAACAAAAAATGATCTACTTTACGCCACTAGGTCTTATTCAAACAGATATCCTTATAATACATTCTGTATGTTTGTCTTTTATTTTGTTTTTAATATATTCAAACACTTGATGTATCTCTTGCACATTTTTTAATCATTTTTTATCATCTGTTTCCTAAATGGTTTAATCTTCTTCTATTTTTAGTAATAGCCGGTGATTGAAGGTATGCATTACTGCCACCTATGTCTTAAAACCTGAGGGTCAGTGAAAGCAGCATTGCTCTGACAGACTGCTGTCACACAGCTGTTCATTGTTTGTCTAATTGTTCAGGAGTTGTATAAAGTGGATGTCTCAGACCCACGCTATGATCGCTTTAGTCATGGCAGCTCGTTTTGGCCTTGTAATCATGGCTGTTTTAGCTGCTGCTTTTGCTGATCCAGGTACAGTTCCATTCACTTATGGAGAATTTTTTTACATTTTGAGAATTTTTTTTAAACAGAAAAGTGACTTTGACCTTTTTGTGTGCAGATATCAAAGTAATATGTGAGAGTGACTCTGTCCGGGTCATATGGAGGGTGGGTCCCCAGTTTGTGCCGTATGCAGCTCGGTTCTTCCTCGGAAACTGCATGCCGTCAAAGTGGATGGTGTTGCCCACAGGAGAGGGAGAAGCACATTTTAACTATAAGTTTTCTGACTGCAGGTTTACAAAGCAGGTGACGTACCAGCAGTATTCAGTGTGTTCTTTAACTGGTTCTGTGCTTGACTAGTTCATGGTGTTCTGCAGATAAAAGGGAAACACTTAGTGTATCAAAGTGAACTGAGCTTCAGGCCGCAGGCAAAACCAAAACCTGCTGTTTTCAAGCATCCAGTCAATTGTGTCTATAAAAGGTATTTTATTCATTCAGCATAAATTGCAACTCAATGAAACTTGCCTGAAAAGCTTAATATTGCCTTTCAGGCCTGATGACTGGGTGCCAAAGTTCTTGAACCCTGGATCTGGTGTTTCATCAGGTCAGAGTAAGCTGGTCTTCCGCATGGCCCTCCTCAACGGTAAGTTCCTCTGCTGTAAGTTCTGAATGTTGGTTTGGGGCCCAATGTGAGCCTTTCTCCCCGCTTCTCCTCCCCACAGAGCAATTAACAGGTGTCGCAAAGACRAATGTGATCCCACTGGGTTCGTTCATGCCGATCTGGGTAGCAGTGGAACAAAAGGCTCACCAGCCGCTGCTAATGCTGATGGACGAATGTGTTGCAGCCACCACCCCAGAGCTGCAGCCCAACACCCAGATCTACCCAATCATTGGCAACAACGGGTAGGATTCAGAGGTCCTCCCCAGATCAGACACTGACRTGCTGCTGATTGAAGACATCTTTGTTTTCACTGTAAAAACAGATGTCTTTTTGAAAGCAAGAGGGGAAGCTCGATGTTCCTTCCTCGGTACCACTCTTCAGCTATTGTCCTGTACCTTCAGTCATTCAAGTTTAATCTAGGAGGCGAGGTAAGTTCAGGAGGTTCAGCCTGCTTTTGTGGCTTTTTTTTAATTGACTTGTTTTCCAGGTGTACATCCACTGTAATCTGGTTGTATGGGACACAACCAATCTTGGTAGACAAAAGAAGGCTTGCCATGTAAAGGACAGTGGAAGGTACATGTCTTAACAGATGACCAGAATATATTTTGGGTGGGGGAACTGCTAGTAATGTGCTTCATCTTAGTTGCTTGTCTCAAATGGTAAAATTGGCACATCAATAAAATGTCTAAATTGTGTGCATTGTTTCTCAGTTGGGAACTACTTGATGACCCATCCAGAAGCTCCCTGTGTGACTGTTGTGACACTGTCTGCTCGCCTCGAAACAAAAGATCTGAACAGGGTAGCGTCTTCCAGATTTTTCTTTTTAAAAGCCCAAGTTGGCTTTTTCCTCARTAACTCAAACTTCATTCAATGTCTTTACAGAGTCTCACAGCAGGAGTTTCAAGTCTGTGTTGGGACCAATTATCATAGTGGATGAATCTGACTCAAAGATCTCACTTTAGCTTTTACAAATGGTGTGTGGGTTTTATTTTTATTTTATTTTTTTATCAAACTTTGTATGGACTAATGTATCTCTTGACAGGAAAGGATCTGGTCAAGCTTGGAGACCTGGCTGCTGTATCTGCTTTTTGATTTAACTGCCACTACTGTAAAACTTGTGAAATAAAGGTTTTGTTGTTTTGACTTGAGGTTTTTATGGAAGCATTATTTGAAGTCTAGTTTAACACTTGGGAAATGGGGTGTATTTGCCAAGAGGCTGTTTCATTTTTAATGGTGGCTATGAAGCATCTAAACCTTTTTTTTTTTTTTTTTTTTTTTTGTGGCGTGATCAAACTCTCTAACTGAATATTGGTGTTTACCACATTCAGCTCTTAGTTCATGATGCATCTGACAACTCTTAAATTGAGGGAATGCTCGGATTTACTTAACTCTAAACATTCTCTAAAGACAAGGCAAATGGGAGGCWTTTTTTTTTAATATGGTCTAAGTCAACAAAATGCGTAGTCTTAGGGCACTGTACATAAAAACAATCTAATGAAGCCAGCAGCCTGAATTAAATCACTTGAATCAGTCTCTCCTGAGCAAATGGAGAGAAACAACCTGCTAATCAGGAAGGAAACTCCAGCAGAACCAGGCTCAAGAACAGGTGGCCATCTGCCTCGACCATCTGGGTTGGAGGGCAAGGAAAGAGACGGGCAGACACAAACTGGTCCAGGTGCATCTACTTTTGGAAAAGAGACAAAGGGGGAGAAGAGAAACTAAAGACCAGAGTGAAGAAATGTGCTCAGTTTGTGCTCCAGTAGTCTATAGCAGCAGAAATGAGAATTCTGGAAACCTAAGTAATTTATAAAGGAAAGTATTCAGTCTAATCTTAAAAGTAGACAGAGTGTCAGCCTCACAGACAAACTGGAAGTTGGTTCCACAAGAGAGGAGCTTGATAACTGAAAGCTCTGCCTCCCATTCTACTTTAGGAACCACAAGTAAACCTGCAGTCTGAGAGCGAAGTGCTCTGTTAGGAAAATATGGAACAATAAGATGTTTATATGATGGAGCTTGGTTAAGAGCTTTGTATGTTAGTAATATTTTAAATTATATTCTGAATTTGACAGGGAGCCAGTGGAGAGAAGCTAAAACTGGAGAAATATGATCTCTCCAACTCTCATTAAAACTCTAGCAGCAACATTTTGGATTAACTGAAGACTTGGAGTTTTTTGGATGTCCAGATTTTAAGAATTACAGTAATCCAGTCTAGACGTGATAAATGCATGAATCAGTTTTTCTACATTTTTGGACAAATTTCTAATTTTAGTGATATTACGCATGTGGAAGAAGGCGGTCCTGGTAACATTTTTAATGTAGGGGTTAAAAGACATATGATCAAAAATAACACCAAGGTTCTTTACATTAGAGCTGGAGGCCAGATTAATGCCATCCAGAGGAAGTGAAAGGTTACAAAGTTGATCCCTAAGTTTAGCATTACAAGTATCATTCACCGTAAATTGAAAAAACTGTAGTGAGCGGTTTCCAAAATATGTGAATTGTCTTGAGATCATGAGGACTGAAACATTTGGAAGCACTGATAAACAAATTACTGCCTGCAGTTCTCTAAAATAACTCGGTACTTTACATTTGGTTCTGTCCAATAATTTAGGCATGTTGGGCCATTAAATGTTTACAAAGCCTATCTGGTGAAACGTTTGACTTCTGCATGGTTTCATGACCATTGGGTCTGGGTGTTGCATTGAATTGGAGCATGTCACTTTCAAACCTAATCTGAGCAGCACAACAGCTTAGTGGTCAGCACTGCCTCACAAAGAAGGTCCTATTAATCCCCTGGTTGAGACCTGGAATCTTTTTGTGGAGTGGCTTGTTTTTCTCCCAAAGACTAAGACATGCATATTGGGCTACCTTCAGGCACAGGCAAAACCAAAGCTGATCTCAATGGGATTTGCCTGCTTAGATAAAGGTTAGTACATTAATAAATCATTCTGTTACATAATATAGATTCAGATATTCTCCATAAACTGCGTGCAGTGTGAATGTCTGTGTAGAGTTTTTATAGCTACATCTCAATGTATGAAAACATTTTTAATACATCTAAGATGTTTTTCAAATAAATTTGGGCATTCAAAAAATTGGTTTCATTTAGCTATTTTGCAGTGAAAAACGTAAAGGCCTCTTTCTGTGATTGTTGAATTTATGATACCAGACAACCTTGAAATTTACTCCAGGAGACCAGACTTAAACATGACAATTCCTTTGAGAGATTTTTTCCTACATCAAAATCCACCCATGTTTACCACCTGCAGCATGGTTGCAGATATTTGTCGGCCTTTAGGTGGAGAGGGCAATAATGTTTGTACCCATGTTTATGTGTAAACATGTCTGTTAAAATATCTCAACCAAATACATGAATTTGAATAAAACTYTCAGAAAATAATCCTCTGATGTACATTTACAAATGGTTAAATTCAACAATGTTGTATAAAGTTCCTCAAGGTGATATTCGAGTAAAAGTACAAGTATCTTATCATAAAATTACTTTACTAAGTTAGTCTTCCCAAAGAATATTACTTGAATAAAAGTTTTAAAGTATTTGACATTTACCGTACTTAAGTTTCAAAACTTTTTATTAAGTAAAAGTGAGCAGTTAGAATTTTCAAAAGGATATTTATTGGGAGATGAACTCCCAAAAAACATTTTTTTCTAAAGGTCAAAATTTCATCCAAACTTCATCCAACCACAATTAGATTCACTGTATCCCTGAGGCACCAAATATCAGGATAGGTTTTTATTTTTATTTTTTAACCATGACAAGGTGGAATAAAAAAAGCCAAAATGAAATAGGAGTAACACCTTTCTACTTCTCACTTTTTTTATGTAAAGAGTAGAAATCACAGATCACTGTGTGAAAATGTAAGGAGTAGAAGAAAAGTATTTTCTACTTAWGTACATTAACAAAKTATTTGTACTTTGTTACTTTACACCCCTGTAATTCAAGATGGCTGCCACATGCTACTRATCCTAAAAAAAGACAAATATTGAGTTAACAATTGATATTATAGTAGCTGAAAAGTCATTCAGAACACATGCTGTGACACATAACGTTTCATTCAATGTTTCAACCATTACAGCTACAACTCTGTCATGTCCTAAAATAACATTATGAAAAGTGACAGGCAATTTGCAGTTTTTCAAGGAATGCCTTTATTGTAAAGGTTTTCTGATTACTTGTTTATTTGGGCATGATATCAAAATCCATATGTTTTTTTTTCTTTTGTGTGTTATTTACCCTTTTTCAAACACATTAACTTGTAATTTATAAAAGTACAGTCCTAATGCTTGAGACCAAAATGAATTTGCTGTAATTAAACTGATTGCAGCTGCACCTGTGACTTTTGCTAACGCCCACCTGAAAGCAGTTTCCTTGATTGACAGACACTGGTTCCACAGTATAAAAGCACCTGGAGCTGAAATGAAGGATATTCAGTCATGATGGCTTCTTTCTGGCATTGTGTGCTCGTTTCCTGCCTGCTGGTTGTCAGTTCAGTGGTTGCTGGTAATGTTTTGTCATTGTACTTTTTTTTTAGTTCTGTTTCTAATACATTTTGAGTAGCTCCTGTAGTTAATGTTCTGTTTTGTTCCAGACATGAAGCTGGACTGCAGGTCTGACCACCTGAACCTGGTGTGGACAGATGGCACGTCTCAGACTGATTTTTCATTGTTTCGGCTCGGTAGCTGTTTCCCCACCAGCTTTACAATGAAGGAGGTGATCTTCAATGTGGAATTTGGCGACTGTAGCTTCAAGAAACTGGTGAGTGGGTGTGTTTGGGGTAGCTTTCAATTCCATAACATAATCCATGCTATAATTCTATTGTAAATCTCAATCCAGGTTACTGGAAATGAGCTGATCTACACCAACGACCTGATCTACACATCCTCCCCTGACTCTAATGTACCTCCCTTCAGCCTTCCAGTTGTCTGCTCATTTGAAAGGTGGATAAATACTATAAAAACAAACTTCATAACTTTACTCAAACTAAACAATCTGTCTTGTTTAGGCCCAAAGACTGGTACCCAATGATTTATGACCCAGTGTTTTCCACTTACGGAGTGGAAGACTTGGTTTTTCGTCTTGCCCTCATGAATGGTGGGTGTTAATAAAAATAAAATAAAAAACTAGTAAAATGTTGGTAACTAGTCCTGTCCTCTTGCAGATGACTTTTCAGGCCCTGCCAAGTCTACAAACTTCCCTCTGGGCTCCATGATCCCCATCATGGCCAGTGTGGAGCAGGTGGCCCATCAGCCTTTGCTGTTGCTGCTTGAAGAATGTGTTGCTGCCACCACTGCAGACCTGCAGTCTGGCTCTGACTTGTATCCTATCATCACCAACAAGGGGTACTTTAGTTTTTTTAAACAGTGAGGCATTTTAACTGCATTTGAAGTAACTTGTGTTCTTCCATACAGGTGTCTTGTGGATAGTAAGATTTCACGGTCAACATTTGAACCAAGAGAGAAATCCTCTGAGCTCATGCTCCTACTTCAGGCGTTTAGGTTTGCTTTGGGACAAGAGGTAATCTAAGACTTTAAATTATAAAATTAAAATATCAAAATGGTGGCAGAACATCAGTATGTTATTTCTTCTAGGTATATATCCATTGCAGCCTCCTCGCTTGGGATCCACTTGATCTTGACACCACCAAGAAGGCCTGCCACTATGTGAAGGATCATGGGTAACATTTTGTTTATTAAAAAGTGCAACAACTTTAAAGTGCAAGTAAATATTGACTTGCATGCATTTCTGTCCTCAGATGGGAGTTGCTGGACAATCCTGTGTACAGTGGCCTGTGTGACTGCTGTGACTCCACTTGCAAGACTAGGAAGACCAGAAGCCTAGAATCTGGTATGAACTAGCACAGCTGTGTTCTGTAATGACACTGATTCACACTAATTGTTTTTTCTCTTAATAGGTAAGACTGGTTTGGTTCAAAAAGCTGTCCTTGGACCACTCACGATCACCGACTCAACCCTCTGAGGTTCAGTGGAAACATGATTTGCAGAATGCCTTTAACCTGACTTGAACTTTTTAAGACCAAGTTAATAAAAAAGCCAACTTAAAGCTGTCTCTACTTTACTCACTGCAAATATGTTTGACCTCATGTCAAAGGGTTTACACTAATCCATGGGGCTGGCCAGTCCAGAACTTCAATTTTCTTAAAAATTAAAAAAAAGCTGACTTTTTTTTTTTAAAGCAAACTGCCAAAACCTTTAAGAAGCATAGTGCAGTAAGACCCCAGCAAGCTGAGAAACTTGTCTGAAGTTCTAAAATCATTGCAATTTCTACATCTAATGGTTCAATGCAAAACCTTGTACAGGTGATTTAACAAGCAGAATAAAGCAACTTAAAAAAATCTTAAGCAAAACCTGAACACGTTTTTGCAGACCAGTGAAATGAAACCAAATTCAGAGGGAAATCACTTGAAGTCCAGAAATGAACTGTTGCCTCATAATGTACATCAATAATCGTGTCCACCAATCGGAGCAGAGAACTGACTCCAGGAGGCGGGGCCACAAAGGTCCCGGCCAGTGCTACGATGGGTAGCAGAACACCTGTTAACAGCTCACAAAGACAACGGATTTGACAGGTAAAGGGTGTGAATGGAGTGGTTAGAGTAAAAATTTGTAAGGTTTATTTTTAGTGTAACTTAGGCATTTTGTCTAAACGGAGCTGCTCACATTTAAGCTAATTAGCAAAAACTTTGGCGTGTACTTTTGTATTTATAAATGTAAATTATACAAAAGCAGAAAACTCGAACGTTTAACCATGACAGTTAAAACCATTTTGAAATGGGGGTTTTGTAGAAGTGTTAAAGAATCATTTGAACCTTAGAGTTAAAGTTCAAAATGACTGATTAGCTAAAGGCTAGTCCAAATGTTTAGAAGATTTTGGGATTTGAAATTAACTCCAATTATAAATTCACACATGAGGGAACACTGTTAACTCTTACATGAGCATATGTTTTAGATTAGTAAAAACTATGGTTAATTACAAGAGCTAATGGTGACAACAGCTATGGCTAGCCATATTAGCTCATTAATCTGGTCCATGCACACTGCTGAAGTGGTTTATGGTATCTTCAAACAACTTCAGTCAAATTTCAAAGTTGTTCAATGAAACACCATAACACTGTCCATTTCAAATTACACACGATTATTCTGTCAAATTCCCGACAGAAGTGCCTATAGGTGGCGCCTTAATTTTCTCATGAGTCTCTAAATCTTGCAGTCCTGTTGAATTTTAAACTTATTCAAAAAATTGTGAGACAAATTTAGTTTCAAGATAGTCACAGGGTTGTTGTGGGCTTCTTGAACTCATGGTCAGAATATGGCTGGTTTGAAGCATATTTTGAAAACCTGAAGATGTTTCCGGTTAAAGGAGAGCTCTTTACTGGTGTTTAACTACATCTAGAGCAGGGGTGCCCAATTTTTTCCCTGAGAGGGACAAAATTAAAATCAGTCTGAGGGCCGTGGGCCAATTGCAATTTTATAAGAAATGCAAATACTTCTTAACTAAAGTTGTTTTATTTTTTTATGATTAAGCTAGCCTGGCCCTTGCCTTCCTACGCAGCTCTGCTCAATTCTAGTTTCCCTTCACTGCTCCGTCTGGGACTTCTCCCATAAAGATGGATTTCACTGGCAGATTTTTAGCCGGGCCAATCAGAGAAGAGAACGTCAATTTTCTGCGCAGTGTCTTGTAGTTTATTTTACCTGGGYCAATCAGCAAACAGAAGGCAGAGTTTTGAATGACGTCAACTTTCTGCACAGTGTCTGCTAGTTATTTTAGCATACGGCAGTGGAGGAAGTGAATGAAGCCAGTCTGTGTTGATAAGGCTTCCAAACTAAATTAAATTTGTCTGACAAAGTAGCAGCTCTCATTTACAGCCGTCTCATTCGGCTTGGTATATTTCTCCTCTCATTAGGGTTGTTTACAGCACACGCGATTTCCGGTTAGCTTCTTAGCTTAGCCTCCGTCACAGCGACGACAACAACACACGCTTCAACAGAGGCCACGCCTCCTGCAAGAAATCGATTCTCTATGGCTGTGTCCAAAACGACAGGCCGGGTCCTCCGGAGGACCC